AAATAAACCTGGTTTATCTTTTTTTAAAGAAAATAACTTTATGCAGACAGTCTGTAATGCACTGTGGTTTCGATGTGCAATAGTTTGTACAATGGTTTATTCCCAAATATGCCTTAAACAGAACAAATGTTTTCTATATAGTTCTTTACATAATAAATATGTAATATAAGTTTAAGCAAACTTCTATTTTGTATATTTGTAAACTACAAAGTAAAAATGAACATTTTGTTGGAATTTGTATTTTGCGTATTCAAGTGGAAAATAAGTTCTAAATAAACCTATAATATTTTATCTGAATGGCTGCCCTAGTTTTCTTCTGTGCGTGGATATGTCCACAGAGACCTTACTTGAGTATTTGTTAGTGGTTGATCTTCCCATGGCAAGGGAGGAGTGGCAGCAGAGGCTTGCAGTCTCAAGACTGTGAAATATAGGATTGCGTAGTGCAGCGTGATACACATATTTTTAGGGGAAAAAGGTGTATACAGATTTTTGCTCTGACTATTGAATTGCCACTTGGCTCACCTGCATATTGAAACTGTAATTTACTATTTTTAAGGTAAGCCAGTTTGAATTATTTGTTAAGAGGAAATACATCTGTTGGGGACATTAAGCTTTGCATGTTCAAAGATAAATTCCTAGAAACGTTTTTGTAGTGGTCATTTCAGCATGAAAAATTTCTAGTTTCATTTTCTTGGGCTTCTCAGATAAGCAGGTGTAACCACTTGGATGTGAATGAAGGAAAATCAACTGAGTAATGTGACAAAGGCTAAACTTGACACAAGGAACAAAGAGTGTGTGCATATAAAACACCTTGTAACAATAAACTACATGGACTTTCAAGTCTGCTCTGTCCTGGGAATTCAGTAATTTGGCAGTATCTGAAGAGCCAAAATTCATGTAGGAATCCTGGTACTCGTGTGTAACTTGGCAAGGCTGGCCATGCAGAGTCTACATATGGTGTTGCTGTAAAGGGCCCAGTGTACCTTCAGTTGCACTCGTTCTGCTGCAGTTAAATGCAGTGAGCCTGCTGTGTGCCTTAGGCTGTTAATCTTTTTGTTGTAGTTGTCCTTAGGGACCTCGTTGCTCTAGTTTCTTTACAAATGTGTAGCAGTAAGATGGTATCAACATGAATGCTGGATGAATAGGACCTGTTTGTCTCACCACTCTTTGTAAAGAGAAGAAAGAAATGATTCCTCTTCTACTGACTGAAAATGTCAGTCAGGCAGGAATCTGGATATATGTAATGCTCAATAAAGCTGAGCACAGAAAACACATCACAGGCAAAAGCCATTCATATTTTTGGAACAGTTAAAACAAGAGTGGCAGTATCAGCTTTTTGTTCAAAAATGTGCCTTAGGAATGCTATTAAACTTTAAATTTTGATGTGCTCTTTGTGTGGTGACTGGTGCCATTTCTTTCTAAGTCCGTGTAAGTAACATAATGATGCAGAAAATATTTCTCACCCCTAATCTCCTAGGCATGCTTTGTTCAACTGAAAGCTATCTTTGTTGGTTTAGTTTATAGGTAACACAGGGAGTAAGGAATGTTTTGTTTGATTTGCAAATAGCAAGTATTTAAAGCTAAATTAAAGTTATGAGTCATTCTTTATCTGAAGCTTTTTTCATGTGAAAACTTTTTACAATTAAACCAGTCATTTTTTACCTCCTCTGTTGCTCTGCCTGTGGATTCTGGATGAGAGATCCAAGATCAATGTTGCAACTGGCACGTACTGTGTGCCCAAAATGTGTTGTCCCGTCTCAATAATGCTGGAGCACGCTTGGGTAGCTGGAGGATCACCTATCTCTGTGTGGCTGCCATTCAGAACCTTTTACATCTGTGTCCTAACACATCCGTGAGTACCAAAATCTGAAGATTTCATCTGAGAAACTTTGCTTCTTAAGTGTTCTTTCGTTATGCAGTCTTAAGAATTTTGTAAGATGCTCTAGCATTTAGTAATGCATTATCTGCTACAGCCAACTTCAGTTTGTGCTTGATGGTTTTAATAGACTCTAGGTTTATAGTTGTATGAACAATGACATTCTTGAAATGGGCTTTATTCTCTTCTCCCACCTGATCTTTTTTTTTTTCCTTTTCTTTTTTTCCTGATCCTAAGCAAGCTGTCCTCATGTAAGTCGTTCTTTACAGACCTAAATGGGCACAGTTGTAGCTTGATATTTAAAAAGAAATGCTGCTGTTCCTTTAACCATTTCTAAAATGCTACTGCTATACTTTTTGGGACAGGAGCCAACAGTTGATTTTTGCTGTAGAGCATGCAGCCTGTGAGAGGCAGTCCTTGTTCTTAAGGAGGTCTCCAGGGGAAATTCTGAAATGAGCAGTTGTACCAGTCGTGCTCTGATAAGTTAGGCAGAGCTAGAAACAGCCTGTTGTGTTCACCACCTGTTTCATTGTGTCTAGTGTCCTGGAGTTGTGCTGAGGTGCAAGATTGTACAGGGGTGCAGTAGAACAGCACGTGTATCAAAAAGCGTATCTCATAAAACGTATGTAAAACACCGAGCAATCTTGTAAGGGTGTCTTGAAAAACGAGATTCGTTAAGCGTTACTAGAGCTATGTTCATGTGCTCCTTTGCTCAGGCTGGGGCATCCAAAAACATGGTTCGAGGTTATTAGGGGTGGCCTTTTTGACTTGGGGTGAGCACCTCCAGAGCTGCCCCAGAGCACTATTATTTTAGCTGCTGAAAGGAAAAGTCCTTGTGGCAGGGAATGATCTCTGCAGTCAAACTACTGCCATCCTTAATCCTGCTCACCCCTTGCGTGAATCTCTCTGGAGCACACTTAACATGTGAAAATGGAGCTGTTTGAAACAAGATGGCACATGCCTGCCTACCAAGTGCCAAGTATTCAAAAGTGGCATCAGAATAAAAATCTCAGAGCTCCAGTGCTTCTGTGCACTTGTCTATTGTACACTACAGGCTGGAAGTTAGTACACTTCAGGCTTGGTCGTTGCTTGTAATCTAGTACAAATGCCTTCAGCTTTCCCTGGTTACATGAAGATGCCCTTACAAGGGTTGCTCTTCCCCCATGGAGGTTACCAGATCCTGCCACTGCTGAAGTCAGTTGTGAATCTCACAAGGATTTATATTAAGCTGATATAAATCAGTAAATTTCATTCTTCTTCTCTTTAATAAGGCGAGATCAGAGGCTGCTGCGGTTAATCACCCTGAGTGCTAACGGTTCAACTGAATTAGTTTACACAGGTTTCCTATGGGAGTGTGCTAGGTGTTAGAGCTAGCCTGCTCTCACTGAAGTCCCTGGCAAACACTTTTAACGGCATTTGAAGGATTTCCAAATTAACCCAGTTGCAAACTGTGTTCCTTCCTGGGCTTTCCTCCTTCCTGAGTGCAACTGGGTTGTGTGCTCTAAGGCAGCAGGGTAATAGGAACGGGTGACAGATGTGAACATACAGACCAGTAGTTAAACCGGAAGGCTCTGGCAAGGGTATGTATGTGGTGGGAGTGCCAGTTGGAGGAAATAAGCCCAAGGTATAGTGAGCAAAACTCACATGGAGAGGAAGAAGAACACCATTGCCACCACCACTGACACATGTTGACTCCTGCTTGCCAGGAGAGCTCCCCAGATTAAATAGCTGCGTGTAGCCTCAGTGGATATGTCTTTGGAGACCAAGGAGAAGAGTATGTACGTATAAGAGAGGAAGGCCCATCAATCATCGAAATTTAATTGAGGTCACATTGGCATGGAGCCACAGGGTAACACACCCACATTCCCCTGTCTGCTGTACACCTGGATGACTCACGTTCATCTGCCCTTCACTCCTGCTGTGACTTACCACGAACGTTTTCATTACTGCTGAGGACATTGCCACCAAGTGCAGAAGTCGTCGCTGCGGCATGGAAGTGGGTGGTGGTGGTAGTGCTTCCGCAGCCTTGTTCTCCACCCTGGCTGCAGATAGGTATCTGTTAGTCTCTTTTTCACCTTTGGATGCTTACCTGTGAGTCCTCGAGGCTAGAACCTTAATGGTGTGAAAGACAGGAGGGAAAAACATGGCTTGTGCTTTATTCATGATTATTCTATATTTAGAGCATGTGTGCCCAGAGTTTTACATAAGACAAGTAGCCTTAGTAGCTGCTCACAAGGGGTATTAGGCAGCTGGACCTTTTCCCTTCAGTGATGTTTTCTGCAGTCTTGGAGCTGTGACTCCTTTTGTAACTGTGATGGTGATTTTCACACAGACCTGGTCAGCTCAAGGGCAGCCTTGTGACATGCTTATTAACAATAATTTTTAGAGAACACGCCAAGCTCCTTTCACTCTGAAGCTTGGGTGAACAGAAGGGTAATCATGTGCTGCTATCATCACAGCCATCTTGCTGCAGCTCTGAAAAGTTTTGCATGGTTTTGCTTTGGGTACAGTGTGCTTGTTTATCAAGCACAAGCTAAGGCTTGCTTAAATCTTGCCATTCAAGTTCTCTGCTATTAAACTTCCAGGCTTTATTCAACAAAATGATACAGCTTCCCTGTATTGGTTGGCTGAAAACCCTTAATTTTAGAAACAGATATGCCACAGTTATTCAGAATTATTTTCCCTACTGACACAGCAGTTAGAAATGGTCTGACAGGCAACACTGCACCACCAGCACACAGGGGTTTATCTACTGGGCGCCTCCTCGGTGGTGCTCAGTGTGCTGCTGGTGCACGTCCTAGTGTCCGTGCCTTCATGGTTGGCAGGAACAGAGTGTCAGGTCTGCTTTGCCCTCCCACTCCTAGAAAGGTGTGGGAAGGCTATCTGATTTTGCTGGCCTGGGGAAGCAGGCTTGCAGTTGCCACGTGGAAAAACTTGCCTCACTGGGCTTTTGCCGCTGCCCTCCTCG